TGTTTAGGCCCTCAAAATCGCGTTTCAAAAGTCGGTAAAATAATAATAAATAACAATAAATAATAAATAATAATCACAACGGTTACAATAGGGTCCTTGCACTGGAGTGCTCGGACCCTAATAACAGCAGAGAGCAGAAAACACAATTCTAAATGTTCACATCAGAGTAACCCGATCTTAAAACAAAGAATACAAAATCATAACATAAACAGTACAGAGTGAGACTGCTCCTTCATAAAATTCACCTCTGATCTGCTTCAAAAAGGACTTTGTGCTTCTTGGCATCTTCTTTTTAATCCAGAGAACAGCTGCCTAACACAGGAATGAATCCTTCACTATAAAACTTCTTAATTAAACAGCAAATAATCAGTTTATCTTCCTCTGATGGACTACAATTAATCATTCCTGTTACATTATACTGTCTCTGAGATCTTTTTAGTAACCATAGAGTATATGCCGTGATTTGATTCCTTCAACCTGTATTCAGCGTCAAGTCATTTAAAGCTTACTTTTACTGTTAGGGGGTTAGCAGTGAATCCCCTGGGACAGAATAAGACGTTTGACAGCATACTGCATGTCAGCTGAAAATGCAGATCCGTGACATTGGGATTTGGAGAGACTGTTGTGTTGCTGCCATGTGAGCACTATTTTGCTTGGGTATAAATGTTTAAAGGCTAGGTTTTCATGTCCAAGCTAAAGACTTAAAGGGCATCGTGTAGATTTATGTCCTCAAACTGTAAAATGTATTATTTGTTTGTAAAATCAGATTCTCCTCCATTATACTCACTCCCAGTCCTGAATAATGTGGTTATAGTAGTTTATATTTACAGTCAGATGCATTGAGGTTTGCCATTAATTCTGAATGACTTTCTAAATGAGGCTCACTTTGGAACACAAACTTAGTGGGGGAGAGTTCAAATAAATAGATTTTTGTGCAGCCAGCTGCGCACAGTGCCTCATAGTGGGATATTAAGTGTTTCTGTCCCCTTGAATAACATTGTCCCGCCGGTACCCTCGAGAGCTTAGCAAATCTCCGCAACAGGATTAACATATTCTGTTGACCCAGTCCTGTGGAGGAATTCAATACAGTGGGTTCCCGTTACTAAACATATATGTTAATAAGTGCAAGGAACACTCATTAGCTGGCTGTGCAATTCGCACACAGTGAAATCTTTGTTCTGAAGGCCTCACTCTGTTTCTCTTGGCAGTGGTTTGTAGGTGGCATGCATGTTCAATAATCACCAGGCAGCAGAGAACAACCCCTTTGAGTGTTGCTTTGTTTCCCCTTACTCACGCAGATGAGCTGTGTAACTCGATGAGAATCGGTCGATTCTACAGGGTGCTGGGCATTCCTGCGCATGTGCACCAGTGGCCCAACGTTACCTGGAGTGTAGAGGCAAATAGCGTCCAACTGTGGGAGCCAGAGTGTAAGGCAGAAAATATAATCTCATATTAAATCCTGATCCAAAACTACGGAAACCCGTCGTTATACACACTGACAGCTGATAAGAGTCTTCACATTTTATGTATTTGAATTGTGTTTTGTGGCCAACATTTATCATGTTTCACATCCCTACCTACAGATTGTCATAAAGTCAGTGGCAGCTTCCAGGAGCTGTTGAAGGCCACTGCTTGTTCTCCCTGGAGGTTCTCTGCCATTGTAGCTCACTGCTTCGGGTTGGACGTGGCTCCTCCAGGCTTGTACAACACACTGAAGCTGAGCTTGTTGCTCAGCTTGGTTCAAACTCGAAGAGATGCAAAAGAAACATTTTACAGCTTGGATCTCCTAGTTGCCACCACTGACACTCTCATACTGGACAGGTAAAAGAACGGAAAATGATCTGAAGTGCTGAATTTGTCACATCCTAAATGAACCCACTGGATACTGAACTTAAAATGTAACCCCCCTCATTACCCTCAGACTTTTTCTTTGTGCTAGACTAATGACGTACAGCTTGAGTTTGGCCTGTCGCGGTGTCAGGCATCAAGCCTCAGGGGAGCTGTTTGCGTCCTTGTCCAGGGACGAACACGGAGCAGGCACTGCTAATATTCATGCTGGTTCTGCCCTCTTAGCCACTGGGGGCATTTGCATGTTGGGAGATCTTGGCTGTTACAAGAAGGACCGGTTGGATTCCATTCAGTCAGGTATAGCGCCAAAGTGGTCAATATAATAAATAAAAGATGATTTCTGCCAAATACAATAATTGACATATTTTTTCTCAGTTTTGGAGAGCCACACAGTGTCAGTATTCATCCCTGGAAAGAAGTACGGTGAAGATGCTGACCAGCAGCTTTCCTTTCCAGTCCAGTGCAGCTTCTGGGCCCTCACAGACATCTCCCGCCGCTCTGGGAGGACAGACTGTGCTGTACTGGGAACAGCAGTGAGTCCAATTATAACATGATGTTGTCTTACCATTGTATCAGTGTGCACTACCAGGTCTAAAATTAGAATTTACTGGAAAATATAGTGCCTTGTTGTCGGGGAGCTTGAGCTTATGCTGTACAATACATTGAGTTTGAAAAAAAAGTCAGGTTTTATTCAACTCAGATGTTGTTTGTAGGTAGTAGAGGCAAAACAGGAACTTGAGACAATTTAGTTTTCTTGAAGGAAGTGCCCTGCCCAAACAACATTACTTCACAGGAGAGCCCTTGAGAATAACCAGCGCTTTGTTTTCTTCTTCTATAGGGAAAAGGTACACAATAAACTGTAACCCATCAAACAGAGTTTCCAGAGATGTTTTCGATCCCAGGTTACTTGATGACTGTCATGGTCATTTTTATGAAGTTGTTGCTGATACCCATCTCTTTATTTGTGAGCAGGAAATGGGTTCCTTACCCCTCCAGCTGGCAGACGCCTTTGGCCTCGTCATTCAGTGTAGGGACAGAGTGGGAGAGGAGGCCGTGCTTGCGCAGACCGTTCACACCCTCCAGCGGGCAGTACAGCCTGGAAAACCCCAGTACTCATCCAGCTGGGAGTTTTCTTCTCAAGAATACCAGGAGGTTAACAATCATGTTCTGTTACCATAGATTTTTTTTTTTATTATTGTTGTTGAAACTCACTCTCTTGACAATTACTGTTTTTAATTCTGTCTTTCAGCTCATAGCCCATGCACAGAGTTTGCAAGTGGAGCTCAGCCCTGTAGCAGAGAAAATAATCCACGGTTACTACATGGCAAGCCGTAGAGTCCGAACACAGAGTCAGAGTGTCAACATGTCAGTGGCCTCGATCAAACTACTGTAAGTGCCCTACTGAAAAATCTGCTGCGTTAGTAATGCATGTTCACTCTCTGCACCACAACCACTGACTGCATGTTGTACCAGTCAGTCCGATGTAATGTCATTGTCATCCACTAGATGGCACACACTGCCTCGGTCCTTGCTCTGACTACTATTTTTCATTTATGTATGACAAATGTTTACAAATCTTTCTTACTGTGGTGACATATTTTATGTGGAACTAAAACTATGAAAATAAATCCGTCCTCAGTAAGACGGCAGGACAGGACAAGTCACATTAAGCTCTAAATCTAGAAACATTTACAGTCTGTATCCGTTTTGATTTATCCATTTCCATGCTAAATTATACACTTGTACAGATTACTTCTTGTACAGCAATAAATAAAATTTAAAAAAAATAAAACACTGAGTACACATGCAGTGACTCACACTAGACTTTTTTTATGGTATTTTGTCACAGGATCTCCTTGGCTGAGGCTCACTGCAAGTTATGTCTCAGAACTTGTGTACTGGAAGAAGACGCTGTGATTGCTGTACTCCTTTGTGAAAACTCAGTCACTCTCAAACATGGTAGGCTTTTGTTTTTTTTTTAAATTAGGACACCTTTATATCCCAATAACTACATATTTGGAACCAAATAAACACCATATGTTGTTTTGAACAAGTGTACTTGCATACAGGATTAACTGAACACTTTTCTTACATGATTGTCCTGTCTATTGGAGCATTGTGTTTATCAATTCATACAAATCACCCAAGTCAATACTACAAAGCATCAGCTTTACCATTTCTTTATTGTACATTTGTATCTTGTTCCTGTGTATTTGCTACGAATGAACACTAGATAGGCTAACAGGTTCAAGAGTGCTTTCTTCACAGGATGCTGGTCTCTTCCTACAGGGGCCTCTGCTCTCATTATTCCACCCGACGCAGTGTTTCCTTGTGACCTGGGAGACGTGGATGGTTTGCACAGGAGAGACGCAACGCTTGATGAGCTCCACCAGAATATCTTGCGCTTCATCTACACCTATGCACCTGGAGCAGACACATACATTGCAGAGGAGTAAGACTTCTATGGAGGTTCAAAAATACAGGTAAACAGCACAAGATGACACGACTGTTTCATATCGTATTTAAATGTCCTATAAAATCAATACAACCATACAAATACATATTTAACTTGACTGAGTGATAATTGAGGGGGTTGCGCAAGAGTTAGCCAAAATCTGAATGCAGTATGTGAGAGGAATATCTCAAACTTCTTGCAGACAAGTTTTATTAATGATGCTTTGAACCAAAATAAAAGAAAAACACTGAAAGATAATTCAGATTCCTGAGATTGGTCTAAGTAAAAGAAAAAACACATTCAAACAAAAGGCTTAAGGCAGACATTTTTTTTATTACAAAAAGGTAATGCAGTCAGAGAACGTGAGCACTGAAATTATTACGACATGTAAACTGGTAAAACCTGACCTCAATATTGATGCAACAGAAAATGTAGGACAAGCTGACAGGGGTTAGGTTTGGGTATTTACCTTTCAAAACGGGCCTCCCCGAGTACCGCTGGATCATTCAACTGACTTCATAACCTTGATAATACATAAACACACAATATATAATCAGTTCCAGTGAAAAGAAGTCATTCATATGGATTTTAAAAACAGAGGATTTTAGTTCAGTTAGTCACATTCTCAGCAGCCCATTTTGGTCTGATGGGTAAACGGCGAAAAGTGAACTCATCATTACAGCTTAAAACGAGGACGGGCCAAGTGGAAAGCAAAACACTGAATACATTAGTGGACCACTGGCTTTACTTACTGGGGAAGACATGAAGTCAACATTGATGTAGCTCTGCAACTGCTGCCGCGGCGGCCTACCTGTAGAACAAGGAAAGTGTATTTTACACCATCTGTAACAATAGCAGTTTGACAACTTTCCTTCTACATTTGAAACCTGTGTTAGAGTAAATAAAATCACTGAGGCAGTAGAGCAGACTAGGTTGAACAGTTGCAGCCGGTAATTCAGTTAGTCACAGTTTCACCACTCTATAGTCTGATGGGTAAACGGCGAAAAGGTGAACTCATCATTATTCCAGCTGCAAGAGATGCCACTGCTCAAAGTTTAGAAAATTATCCACACTGTAAGAATGAGTTTAAAAACTAAGGTCGGGCATAGCATTTTTTAACTACTTTGGAATAGTTGTCCAATACCTACCACAGAAATGTTACAAAAATCCTTTTGTGGTTTACACAACCAAACTTAACAAAACTATTATTTTTGTCTGCTACTCGGGTCACTCAGTCTCACCACCTGCTGTGTTTGGTGGGCAACCGGACAACAGCCTCAAAAAGAAATACTGTGGTAACGTCACTCACCTCATCAGAGCAGCAGACAAAGGTTTACATGTCTGGTGGCTCTCTGGTCACCACAAGTTTAAGCAGCTGAGGAGGGGAAAAAAAACAAAGAACTGAGATGAACTTCAAGAGGAAAAAAGCACATTTGCATCACATATTCTGTTGTAATTTAATTATTTCTTCATGTTACGCTGGCCATTCAGTTAGTCACAGTTTCACCATCTTATTGTCTGATGGGTAAACGGCAAAAAAGCGAACTCATCACTATTCCAGCAGCAGAACCAGACTATTGAAGTTAAAAAACAAAAAGTGAGAAATACTGCGGTACTCACCTTGAAGGTCCACACAGTGAAGACATTTGGTCATCTGCAGTTTGCAGTGGTGGCACGGCATCTGGAAAAAGGAGGATCATTGAGTAATCAGCATTTGGCCTTTTCTGAACTTCTTTAAATTGTATTACACATAGTGATATAAAACTTTTTACTGTATTACCTTATCAGGTGTACCAGCCATAGTTTGACTTGGACATCTTCTTCACCACTGCTACAAAAGACAAAAGCCACATATTTTAAAGTTAACACATTGCCTATCATTAACCTTCCTTCCCTACCTCACCAGATCACTGCACGTCTGTCACTGTAACTTTTTCAAACCTTATAACTAATTACTCCCAGGAGTGATGCGATATTGATTTTCAGCGGGGATGAATAAAACCTACTGAAGGATAAGCCAATATAGTGAGCACCGATGACTGATCACCAGAAGGTCAGAGGGTACAGTGTAACACAGCTTGGGAGTATGGCTAACATCGCAGGTCTGAAGAAGGGTTCAACAGCAGGTCACGACCTCTGCCATGACCCCACGTCCTCAGTGGGGGCCATGATGACTTTCCCCAGTGAAATTATGGGAGAGGGCAATTCCCTGACCAGCAGCTCTTCTGCTGACCCCTGGACAAAACTGGCTATGGACAGTGCTGCAAGAAGCTGAATGACACTGAGGGCGTTTTTCCTCCTTTGAACTGTCTTAAAGGATGATTTATTGCTTTACTTCGGGGATGAAACATGTCATTACTGAGACATCGAAACTAGTTTTCAGCAGATATAGTAGTTTTCTGAAGTTACATATGGGGTGCATACGCAAAATATGAAATATGACTCGTGATTATATGTAATAATTAAACAATTATAGTTTGTTCATAGAAAAATCTGCAGGATTTTCCATTCTAATCCACGTGTACTTACAAGGCTAGGCGTCATGACTTAATTGGACAAATGTCGATATGCAGTCCTCAACATAACATACTATCTTTACTAGTTTTAATATACATGTACAAATAATGCACACTTACTACTGGACCATGATGAACAACCCTGCAATCGGACACAACTGTAGCCTGCACTGCGCTCCGTCCACCCACGTGGCCGACATGCTAACTAGCTTCATGCTAATTACGAATAACCTTGTTCAAGAGTTAATTCCAAATCAATTTGGAAATATGCTGCAACATTTTAAGCTCTGAAAATGTACAAAACGTATTCACAAAAGATTACCTGCGCAGCGAATCGTGAAGAAGTCAAAGTTGGGAAGCGCTGCTGGACACGACTGCTCTCCACGACCATCTCCGGGCAAAGAGGGAGAGTCTCTCTTCCGTCTTCCTGTTTCTGCGCCGCAGAGCTGCGCAGTGCAGCACACGAAGCGCGCACAGCGAAGCATCGATTACAATGAGAGCAGCAACCAACTCAGTCTATTTGATGCTTATATTTAGAGTAGAAAAATACATTTTTGTGTGTGTTTTATTCCAAAGAACATTTTTTAATGAGACAAAAAAATGGTGGAAATTTTAAGATTATTTATTTATTTTAGCTTACTGCTTAAAACATTTATTTAAGCTGGCTGGAATCTACATCTACTGTCATTTGTTGTCTTTAAAAAAAAAGGTTGGGATTTGCGGATGGTTTTATCAATAATTTAAGACGTTACATTGTGTAATCACATGAATGAATCTAACAACATTAAATAAATGAAGGACAAATAAATGTCGAAAGACATATAGGCATCATCATACAACACATGTTTCCACTAAAATGATAAATTCCAGTGTTTTTATGGGTAATTAATTTTATTAATTATTTTCTAATATTTCATTTAAATAAATATAGGTTATTGTTTACTGACACATTTTATTTTTCTTCTCTCTCTTTTTCACCGTCTATCCCATTAGACTTTCACAGTCAACTAAATTAATGTCCCTAAGCAGCCAGGGGCAAATACAGTTTTTGTTGCGACCTGTTAACACCAAATTCTTAAGCAACAATCGACCTCCTAGAACTAAATGTTACTGTCACGGAAGTATAAATTCCCGGTGATTACAAAACAGCTTTAAATGTCCCCCCCAAACAATACCGTCAATAATAAGTTAATAATAGTAATAACAAAAAATAATAATAACTTGTACGTGGAGTTTCAATTATTATCCTTTTTTTTTTTAATTTTATTTATTTATCTTTCCAAATTGGCGTTTGGAAAAAGGACACATTTGTAAATGTTCTGTCATGGTTCAACTCGTGGGAGACTTGTCCTCTTTCATTGTCAAGTAATTTATTCACAAACACATTTACAACCATGCATGTAAAAATAAGAAGGAACATGAGATGGAGAGTCTCCATTGTTGACTCTCTGACAGACCACTTCACATGACAGATGTTAAGTTATTCACACATGCATTTAGTGCAAATGTCTCAACTGAAAGTGCACACTCAAGCATGACGGGCTCGTCAGGCTACCCCGTGGAATTTCTGCAAATATCATACCTGGGACATGTGTGGATCTGCACAATGCAACCGGGATAAGCCAAAATAACAACAGAGAAACATAATTGTGTGCTCTCTCAAAATTTGTACAATAAAATTCACGTAATATATTAATTTACAATGTGTTCCTATTGGCATAGGGCTTTAGTGGAAGAAAAGTCAGATTGATGAATTGCTCTACAATCATAAGGCTGCTCCAGAAGTAAAGCATGAACTCATGCAAATATGAAATCGTTTCCTACAAATGATTTAAGCCTGTTACTGGGAGGTGGACGACGATGGGCCTTGGTTCTCTGACTCTGAAGGACCTGAAGTGTTCAGGAACTGTCCGGTTGCTCCGACGTACAGTCTGGATCGCATTGGCCATTTCTGTGGGGGAAAAAAATAAAGATGTAATTTGTCAATAAATGAAGCTCAAAAATAGGCCTCCAATGACGATGCTGCATGCTTTGATTTTTATTTTTATTTTTTTTACATCAACTATAAACTAAGAACAACTGATCAGTGGTTTAAAAGATTTTTTCTTTTACGCACAGAAATTTCACACTTGTTTTTTTAATTGTATAATTAATTAATTAGTACTTAATTGACAACAAAAAGACAGGCATATCCAAGCATAATAATAATAACACTAATTATAATTATTATTGTTGTTAGCACTGACCTTCACTGGGTGCAGGTAGCCTTCACCTTTCAGTGAGTGTAACGCCTCTGTTTGTTTTGTGCTCTCTCCCTCCTCCGTACCTTCCTCTTGTAGTGTTCGAGTCAAATGGGCAATATAGGTGGTGGCCAGTATCAACACGTCGAGTTTGGACAGCTTGGTGTCAGGCGGCACTGACGGCAAAGTCCTTTGGAGTTCCAGGAACGCGTTTCTCAGCGTCTGCACCCGGCTCCTCTCCCGCGCTGCGTTCGCTGCTGCCGGCCGACCTCTGCCGCCGAGCCCGCCGGTCTGCAGCACCCTGGCCCGGTGGAGCTCCCGACGACGACCGTCAGGACTGGGGCTGGAGCTCGGACTGGATGCTGGGCTGTCATCCACAACCGCCCCGGAGCAATTACCGCCGTCCATCCGGAGCGTCTGTCTTCCAACCATCGGGGTGCACTTACAGACCTGAAGATGTAGATCAGATTTAAAAAACTTACTTCAGTAGTTCAGCCTGTTCAGCCACCATATTGCACATTGTGTTTGAACTCAACTGACACAACTATTTATTGTTCCACATTTATCTCAACTCTTAATTTATATCACAATCTATAATATTAAAGTTACTGCCTTTTGTGATTTTACATCCATAACTTAAGTTCTCTGCTCAGCACATCGTTATTAAAAATGTGCCAAACTGTGTGATGCTGCACATTAAACAGAAAACACACTCCAAGTCTACAGCTTATTCATTTACAAACAAAACCTAAAAAAAAACGACTCCCAGACAGCTGTCCATAGCTGCACTGACACCCAAATGTGTGCTCCGTGGGATGCCAGATGAAATCCCTGCCAGGCGTTTTGCCAGCACAAGAGCAGTGTCTGGTTGGTGGTCTGATATGGACTTTACCTCTGGAATTTCTCATAGGCGCTGTCTTGAAAAACGACATGAAGGCGACCCAAAGAGAAGGGCTTGGTTAGGACAGAGAATTTGCTCGTCAATGTAGAACAGTCCCAGCTCACGTCCAGCTTATCCTTATAAAGTAGCGCGTCTGCAGAAATGGTGCGCTGCGCTCCCCGTGCGCGCATCAAACACTTCACCTGTGTGCGTAAAAGTCTCAGGAGCCCCTAATTTATTGGATACACAAAGCGGTGGACAAGTATTTCACTCCGACGTAATTAATCACTCGCCCCATAACACTCCCCTCACAGCGGAGAAGGCTGCTCTTTCCCTTTCCCAACTTATTTCTGTCTGAGGGCAGCAGAGGCTCGTTTTCAACGCCAGAGGCAGGACTCTCCTTTGCGTTAACTCCGATATGTGGTAGGCCATGTCCCACTCTAATTGGCTGCGAACCTGACACTGTATTTTCTTTATAAGCCTATCAAAAAGTGGCAACGGAAAGAATTTCTTTACTCAAAATGACCCCAGAAAATGTCCTCTCCATGGGCAGAAATAAAGGCTAGTCTATCAGAACGCTGTTTGCAACAGAGCATGAAGACAAACTGACAAGTGTAAGATGATATGCAAAACATTTGACGAATTGCCAGGGTGTCTTGAATTGCAAGCTCATTGGAACAGCTAATAAATAAACTCCAGCTCTGCAATCAACAGGCAGGCATTGAGGAAATTCTTGCGAGGCTCATAAATTAATCACTCTGATTTTCAGGGCTCCAAACGGAGATGTCGGCAAATTAATGAAAGGAATTATTCATAATATGTATATCCTCGGACTGTTCTTAATAAACATTGTTTTTGTAAGGATGGAGTAACAGTATTGCTTCAGGCCACTAATTATAAGGCCAAGTAAAAGGAGGTTAAGTAAGCTTGTTGCCCTAATTACCCCGCATCTTTCAGGGCTGACACGCCCACGTGGCCCCCAAAAACTCATTCAAACGCTTAGTAACAAGGATGACAATGAATACATCCGTATTGTTACTGAATTTGCTACAAAACAGCCCTGAATCATTAATCACAGTTGTTTGAATGGAGGCAAATGATGTTGGCTTTGGATATTGCAGAGGCTTGTAATAATAGAGCAGAGTGATCATTTAGATTGTGCCACTCTGCATCTAGATGGTCACTTATTTGCAGTAACAGCATTTAGAAGAAAAATCACACACATCATAGAAAATGCAGGACCATCAGCAAGAAACAGTTTGAGTTGAACAGATTATTTATATCATTCAACCCCAGAAATTCTACTCGGAAATAAACCAGCTGTGAAAACGAGGGTAAGAAACGAAATGATGTTGTTTTAACTGTTTAGTTTATTTTGTTTTCATTGCCACCTTATTAATTCATTTAGAGGAGCAAAGATTTAGTTGTAACAGAAAGCTAAAAAGGAAACACACTTAGAAAAAAAATGTGTAAATTTTTTAAAGCATTGTAATCCACCAGGTCTGGTGACTGTGCAGTTCTAGGCATCACAGTGTGGGTGACAGTGACTGTGTCCCGTTAAAAGGATAAAAGATCCACAGCGATGATGACGAAGGTGTTTTAAAAAAAAAGGCAGATGCATGGCCTGTCCTGGGCTCTGGCTGATGTGTGCGTAAAGTGGAGGTGTTAGTCGACTGGTAGGTTTGTCCTAAGCCTCCATGTGACTGTAGGTGCCTGATGACACAGCCACAGGAATCTCTAATTTCTGTGCCCTGTAAGATCAGAAGAAGAAGAAAAAAGGTGTAAACAAAAAGTATTATTAGATCACAACAGAGAAATCTTTGTCAAAAATGAGTAATAATATAATAAAACTATACAGCACTATTCGTATAAATGAATAAACCACCTGAATAAAACTAACCTTAGAGACATCACCACAACAAGTTACACACCAAATAGATCAAATAGATAAAAAGCAGGAAATGAAATTAAAAAAAAAAAATAGCTGGCATCAACTATCAACTTCATGTTTTTGTTGATTAACTAATTTTGAGGAGAACTATAAGCTGGAGCAGGATGTGCGGTGAGTTCAAGCCCATTAGCAGCTGCCATCACTGATCATTTACACATTCAATCACGTCGTGCATCAATTCCGCACAACATCTGGATGTGTAGTTGTAAAGATTTCCCACCACATACGTTAAATGTCTACAGTTCAGTAATCCAGTAGCTAATAAAACGGAGCCAGTTGTAGATTTTCTTGAATTATGATACTGGACCTGAGAGACTGCTGTGGCTTCCAGCTCTGCATGTTGGCGTGACTGTAGATGTGACCAGGATGTGGACCCTGACCCATGTTAAAGTCATCTGGAATATACACACAGCCAGATACACACAAGAAAATCTAATGTGTACAAATTCGGGCAGCAAGAAAAATAATGATAAATGTGTTCACCAAAAAAAACAACAAGGATCTTCTAATGCTATTTCTCTGTATTGTGTTTATACAAATTATACATTATATTTCTAATACATGTTCATGTGACTAAGGCAAAGATGAGACCAAACAGGGCTGATGAATTACAATGCGTGCAAGGATTTTCTAGTTAATTTAAAAAGGTTCAGAACTTAGTGACTTACTTGTTAAAGGATAGGAGACTGATGATTCAGACAGCACGTGCTTGTTGTTTTTTCTCTTCTTGGCCTCTTTGGTTGCTTTCCAGTTAATAAGGAACTGTCTGGTTAACTCATTAATTTCCCTTCCATCGAGAGCTTCTACAAAAATTAAGAATTTAAACTTGAACTTAAAAGCAAAATCTAAAAGTGAACATTGAGTATTTTTTCCTTCTATCATTAAATGGGATCTTAAATATCAATACAGGCAATTTAAAGCACTGAGGTCTATTTTCAAATTAGGAAGCTACCGAGCAAGAAAAAGAATAATATTTTACCAAGGCTTTTGCACTCCGTTATCAGGCGGTCTCTGTACTTTGGCTTTTTACACACAGGATTTCCACTTAAATCCATTAGAAGGAGCTGAGGCCACAGGCTGAACACATCTTCTAGCTCCTGAAAACACACACAAAGACAAACATCTCCTATTATCTGTTGTGTTTTAACCACTAATATTTAAACTGGAAAAAACAGTGTGTCTCTAAAGTTATGCTCAGTAACTAACCAGGAAATAATGCTTAACTTTTTTCAACAAACTAATACAGACATTTACAATGCCATTACTGATCAGAGACGAACTTCAGAATTTCTTTTTAACACATGGTATAAGTGAATGGTCACGTTAAGTACAAGGGCCAGTAGAACGTGCATAAACAACACATCAGTCTGTTTTAATAAACAGTGTCGCCGGTGTCATGTAACTACAAGTTTTCTCCTGGGGCAGTGTGAGGCTGGTTCCTCCAGCGAGTAGCCTGCAGTTGTATGTTTATCTAAAGGCACATTAATCCAAGCCTGGAAATATGAATACTCTCTGGACACGCTCTGATTGTTCATTGCCTTCCTGTCTTGGCCAAAGCGCTTCCACTTTTCCAGCCCGAGCTGCAATCAGTTCAGAGGGGACCCCTGAGCACCACGCGCTCCCAGGCTTTGATAAATGATCGTGTCAGGGCCGTCACTCAGAAGCCCCTCACTGAAGAGGAGCCCAGCGCCAAATTGCCCCCCACGCGGGGGCGTGGAGAACAGCAAAGGCTGGATACTCACTGAGCCTGGCTGGCTCTCTCTCGCCTGGACTAATGATGGGCCAGTTATGAACCTGTATTTGACCAGCGCTTCGATTCCCCTGTCCTCTCTGCCCTGCACACTGCTAACAGCCTCCGAAGATGCTACCCATTTGTCACCCCAGCTGACTGCCTGTCATAATCTATTTTAAAAATCTATAATGTTTCCTCTGGATTTTGACCAAATGGTGCAGAAGGAGGAATTGATCCTTTAGAGTGCTGTCTTTGCACAATCAATAGTGGCAGACGGGTTGTATAAATTATAGGAGATATCTGCTAAAAATGACACGTGTACAACAATTACCTGCATCAACGTTCTCAAAAGAAAATCATTTGCTTTAAGAAGGTAACTGTGGCAGAGCAGTCAATTACAGAGTGCTTTAAAATGTGTGATCCTGGTGGTAAATGCCAGACCTTTTAAATAAAGCCATCAACCTTTTCAGTATACATATCAATTCAAATAGAAAAATTACTGCCATCAAAGAGTCGGCCTAAAAAAATAAGCAGGTCATTTTTCAAAGAGTCAGTGAGCATAAATCAGATCTCAGCCTCAGATGAATCTCCCAGAAAGTGATATACTGGTGGTTTAGGATATCAAATAGAGGATTCTAAGGCAGAGAGGAAAAAAACAGCCGTGCAAGGAAAGAGAGAAACTCGTGCTTGTTTAAAGCTGTCAGCAAGAAAAGTCTCGGGGGAATGGCTGGCTGATTTGTTGAATAATTCGGACCCTGTGCGAGTCAGGGAGACTGGAACCTCTGGCGGGATTTGCAGGATTTGGTTCTTTACAACCCTGTTCTCCATATCATTTCACACATCACTGCAGAAAGCTACAGAACAATGTTAATGCTGACCTGGTCAACTAATAGATGGTATGTTGATTCTAATATGCCGTGTCATGCGTCGTCGCTGTGATGTGCCGGTATTTACTTTGACTGACTCTACTTCTACCACACTGGAGACGAGAAGTCTTAAATGGAAACTGGTTTTACAGACACTTGTACTTAGGTCTTATAAAAATAAGATATATTTACCTCCATATTGTACAATTTATTGTCAGCAGCAGAAAAATGCCGGAGTTCCTTCAGCACTGCCAGGTCTCTGATATCATCAATGTTGTTCTTATTGATATTCAGGACACAAAGAGAATCCTGTACAAAGAATTGGTATTAATAAAGAGAGTAAAGTTTGTGTTACAGTCAATACAAGAACAGAATATTTACATTGTAGATCGAATAAAAAATGCTTTTGTGGTCAAATCCTCTAAATATTGAAGCTTACAATTATTCAAATATGTAAGAAAACTTCACAGAAAAAGGAAAACAACTGAACATGCAGTTATTAAGGAAATGCATTAGCTCGTACACATTTAAAGAAAAGGTACTCTCTGCAAAACCATATTTATCCAAGCATTACTTTATGATAAATGGCTTCTTAGAGGAAACACATTACAGAGCTATTATGCACATCCAAAATAAATTTGCACTTCACAGTGTTTTTATCTTTTCCTTTGCTTGTAATCCATCTAGATCTGTGCTCTTTATATGTCTGAAGTACTTGGAGCACATCCAGATCAGACCCTATATGGTGCTGTTTCTAAATATTCATCTTGGTTTGAAGTTCTATAATGGCACATTTATAAAAAGCTGGAGGTCTTTAAATTTGCACAGCAATTTCTTTAATTTATCCAAACAAACAAGAAGCTGAGACTTTTGGTGTGTTTATCCATAGCCTGGGCAGTAAATGAAGTAAACAGACCTAACTGATTTGTCAGAGCAGAGAGAGAGCAACAGAGGTCTCTTTGACATCATCAAACTCTGCACAATACTGCTTTTACATGGATCACTCGCGTCTAAGAAATCTGAGATCCTCTAAACTGCATGTGATAACCCAGCAATTGATGCACCACACACATCCTGGTTTATGAAAAGAATAGCTTTGCTCTGACCTTTGGATTACTGGGAAAAACACGCTGAATTAAATGAGGCAAGCTCAAATTATTAAAGGATCATAGGACCTAATTTTTTACGATACTATTTTTATAGTGAACAGTGGAAAAATAGGTCATACAGCAAGTGAGAGCAGAGTCCTGGGGTCAAAGAGCAACTTTTCCCCTGGTGCCAGCTTCTGACTCTCCAGATGAAGCTCCTTGAGCTCATGGAGCTGCTCTAAGCCTTCCACCACTGCAATTCTGTTTCCACCCAGATACCTACAGAACAGGAATATCACACACATGTTCACAAATACCTTAGACTTTAAATGATTATCGCGGCAAAGAGCATCAATCAGTTACAGTATTTTCTACTCACAGTTTGGAAAGTTTCTGCAGATTGCAGAGATTATCTACATGAGTGATGTCGTTGTTCTGCATATACAGATGGGTGAGGTTGAAGGCGAAGTCGAGGTTGGAAATGTGTGTGATCTGATTATCATACAGGTAAAGAACAGTGAGGTTTCTGCACATGGAAAGATCTCCCTAAAATAAAAGGAAAAAAAATAGGCATTTAAAAAGATGTAAGAGAGAAAATAAAATTAACGCAGCAGTGTAGATGTTTACCACTTACAATACTTTCAATATTTTTGTTGGAAAAGCGGAGGTGGGTGAGGGTCTTGAGATACTCTGAGAGGGAGAGGCCCCTTTTCTTTTTGAAGTGGTTCCTAGATTTAGCAATCAGATCGACAGTCAGACGCACCATGCTGGCTTGTCACAGACTCTGCTTCAGAGAGGATCCTTTTCAGCTTCAGCCAAGCATTCAGCCCGCAGCAGTGACTAGGGCTGTCTGTTTGTGGAAAAAAAATAGACACGTGTGAGCTGAAAGAGCAGGAAGATGAATGTTCCCCTGAATAACCATTTACTAATACCAAATTACTTCAGTATATGTAATCAGAAATGACAGACAAGGCATGCAGAATGTTAATGTGCTTAAAACCCACTGGTCAATTCATTATTAGAAATAAATAGTGAAAAAAAAAATCACAATTCTCCAGAAAACTTTCTAAGAAGCCAGGAAAACACTCAGTATGCGTGGTAATTAGAGTGATTACTTACCCGTGCAGTTTGAGCAGAGCTTCCTCAACTTCCTTTAATCAGCTTCAGTGAGGCTTGTTTCTTCACTTGACCTGACATCAAGATATTACATTTTGCACTTTGATTTTATGTCGTTTATATAATAGGCTTTACTATTATTTCACCTCTCCACCTGCTAAATATACAGCTGTCAGCGTGTGTAGGTAAAAGATGGTGGTGGGAAGGCAGAAGGGTTTGACAGGTCTTTTCCACACTTGATCTCAAGGTATCAGGTCGAGGTTATATGAGAAAAAGAGACACAGATCGATAAAACCAGGGCTGAACTATGGACAGAAGATAAAGGCTATGTGAACTCATACGCCCCTGGTCCTCTGGTTTCCAGGGACTTGGGGACAGTAGTTTGTCACTGTCAGAAATATGTGGCACACTTTGGTGCAGTACGTGAAAGATAGAGACTAAGTGAAACAGAAATATGTCTATTGTAGTCAGTGAAATAAACACTAACATAACTTAGCGTGTACTTACATCACAATATTAGCTAGCTTAGCTTAAAAGCTACATTAACAATGTACCATTAACGCCGTGTAAAACCACATTTAGCGTTAAGGTTCCCCTTTATTGTGGTGAATTTCGACAGGTGTGAAATATTTATTAAATTCTCCTACCTTTCAGGTTCGGCAAAGGGTTTAAAATGCGAGTTTGCTAAACAGTTTTGAAGCGATAAGTTGTGAAGCGAAGTACGAGTTCGGCTGTTTTGTTTGAGGCTGTCGAAGTGTTGCTATGGAAACCACGTAAGCGGCGCGTCGGTCACAGAATCTGATGGGTGACTGAATTTGATGGATCACCGACAAAAGACTAGCAGTTACTAAGCTTTTTTTTTTTTTTTTTTTAAAGGACATTATTGAATATATTTGGATTTAATGGTATAATTGCAAAGGGAAACATTTAGATATAAATTATGTGGTTGATAAAAACGGGGTAAAGAATCATCTCGCGATATTATTCGTTAATTTAGTAAACATGCGGGGAATGAATTGGTTACTATGTTTAGGAATTTATCAGGACTTTTACACAGTATTTCGTAGTGTAAAAAAATAGTAGAAGTTAGTTATTAAGTTAAAGAAAAAGAAAGAAAAAAGAAAAAGAAAAAAAAAGAAGGTGACCCTCTCATTAAACGTACACTCAGACTTCAGACTATACATTTCCTGACAAGATGACCAAACCACACTCAATTTTCAGTCAGGACCACAGCCCACTTCTCCCAGTGACCCCTGCGTTGTTAATCTATATCATGTCATGACCTGGGTTTCCTGTGAGGGAGTGACTTGCCTCCACTTATGCAGGAGCACATGGTGAAGGGTTCAACTTCTTACACATGGCACCAGGCTTGTGGGCCTAATTCTTCTCAGAGCCAAACTAAACACAACATCTCCAGTTCTTGGTGGGGTGAGTACATCTATAGGGCCTAAACACTGTAGCTACTCCTGGCTATTAATCAGTCTTGTCAAAAAATTGTCCACCCTTTTTTTTGTGTGTGTGGACAGCAAAGGTGAAAATTCCATTGCAGTTGGTGGACACTTTTTATAGTAATGAGGAACATACTAAGGAATTAGAAAATTGCTAAATGTTAAAAGAGAACGGTAAAAAAAAACATACGGGTAATGGATTTTTGGCTGCCCACAATTTGACTTGATTAGAATTTACATAAATTTTCTTATTCCAACTTTAGTCATGCATACAAATGTCCATCTGGTGATAATCACAATATTTATATGTCCAACGAGTACAATATGTTTCACTGATTCCTAAATCACTATGAAAGACCAAACTATTTTAGAAGTGCATTCTTTAAATACTTCCTCAGCACTGTGACAGTCATCCATGTAATATATTTAAATATCTGGCAAAAACATGAGCTATTCAGTAGACTGCGCAAAAACCTTATTCAACAACTTTAAATTCCTAAATTACGTTAAATATAATCTAATAAGCTTCCTCTTCCTAAACCACAATACTGAAACCCTCCATTTTTTAGATACGGCTTGAATAATGGTAAGAGAAAATCATTATAAGAAGTGGTGCCAAAGCTCATGCACATGAGAAAAAACAGGCACCTTCACTGTCCCACTGGGATTCTCTCCTCGGCAATACATGACATCAAAAATATACATTTAGCCATTACAATACCATAAAAAAAAGACAGAACACAAACCCAGGCCAAAGCAGTTGTCAGTAAAAAAAAAGACAGACTTGGTGAGTGTCTGCGCCGATGTAGAGCAGACACATTGGGTGAATAGACTCCAGTGTGTACGGCTTCTGTTTCTGCGCTGCATCACTGCCACACCACAACCTGACGAGCTGGCCACTCTGCCACGGTGTGTACCACCGAGAGCCAAACTGTGCTCAGAGTGACTCCGCAGAGACATCCCACACATAGCAGTCGATTCCCGCTGAGCCTGTGCAGAAGCGCGAGTTTGTTGTTCCATTATGTAATGCTATGACAGGCCGCACCACTTGAATGACTGACTGGTGCTGGGTTAGACGGAGTGTTACATGTAATCGCGGTGTGTTGTTTATATGTTATGCTATAGCGGGTTGTGTGAGAAAACATGTTTAGTAGCCAAATCACGAAGGGACAAAATGCTGCTGTGCTTCAGGCATTGAGAATACATACTATATCTATATGAGTGAATATCTGGAGAGCAATATCCACCTAATCCACCCTCTAGTGCAACGCCTCATTGTCCCAACTATACTTCATTGCATTGTACAGAAATAAAAATCATATTATTCTGTTTAAAAAATATAAAAACATCCAAATACAGGACTTATACTTCTTATATTTTATTTTTTTGCATGTGTCCTGACTGTATTTCTTACCTACTTCTAGAAGAAAAGAATAAAATGAATAGAAAAGCACTCCCGAGAGAAATCACAGATAAATGCTACTCTTAGCAGTTAAACACCATAACATCATAAACCAGTCAGTCCTAGGCATGCACAAGAAAACATTTCCAGGTGAAATCCAAATCGTCTTGCGGTTCAGGTTTAATTGGCAGATGTGTTGATTTGATTGAAGAGTTTGTCCTTAATGACTTGAGACATCAACCCATGAATTGCCTCTATGGTTGTCTTGCAGCTAAAATAAACCAGAGTGAAAAATGAAGATTAGCATTTCATGCAGAAAGTACGATGCAGCATATAGAGATGTGACATCTACACTGGTATTGCTACACCTTCGAAAGCACTAAATAGGGAAGGAAAATATAAATATATATCTTGAGAATTATTTGAACATCAATCAAAAAAAAATAATTAAGAAAATATTCTAATTTATTAAATAGTTCTCCAAAGTCCAAATATGAGTTTCTTCCAGCACGAAATTGTGGAGATTTGTTGCTTCTGTGTTTTGTATTATTTACTGCTGAATCAAGACGTTTGAAGATTTGGGCAAATTCCATTATTAACTGAATAACTGATAAAATAATTACTAAACAATCATTAGTCTCAGCCAGAGAGAAGACATTTATCAACATTTTCGTTTGGCACATTACTTTTTTTTAAACTTCTATCATCAATTATCAATTATACCACCTTTAAAAAAATGCCTAATTTAAATAAAATTGATATTATGTAATGCAGGAATGTAATGAAACAGTGATGAGATATGACAAGAACAACACATCTTAGAAGGAAATAGGGTTGTAATTAATGTCACATACAGACAAGAATGTGTTGTAAATAAATCCGCTGAGTGGCCAAATACTGCATATCACATATCACAAAATAGGATTTAAATAATTAAAAGTAATACCATCAAACACTTTCTTTTGAAAATCTAACTGGATATAGTATATATAGATATTGTCAGAACAGACTACAGTTATATAAAACACTGAAATTATGGTACCCCTAATAGGTATACAGCCTCTTATTTTCTAAAATATACGTACCTGTCTCGTGTAGCTTTGGCCAGTTTGTCTTCAGACTTCCTGTCATGTGTGTCCAACCCGAGCATGAAGCTGCCTCTGCCCAGCTGAGCCTCCGACTGCTCCAGCTTCTCCGACAGGTCAAACACTTGGCCCGTGGTGTAGTCCGAGTTCTGACCATCCGACACACCCGCACACAAAGAGAAACCAATTCATGCACAATTTGCCAACAAAAGCTAGATAACGGATTCTCCACAAAAAGGATTTTTTTGCAGAATGGCAACAAATCTGCCTGACATGCCGAAGGAACACTTGTGTGTTGTGGTGAATGAAAAGAAGCCGGTGAAAAGTTTGCTTAAGGTGAGGCCGTGTTTATGGTGGAAAAGGTAATTAAAACACAATGACACGGGGGCCCCTGACTAGGGTGACAGTGTAGCAACTGACAAAGCCTGTCACCCACAGAGCAGCTCGTTCTTGACATCTAGTCAATTCATCTTCATCCAGAATGCCAAAGAGCTAACTGTTTGGATAAGCCTGATGCCTATTTAGACTGTTTAGTCAAGCTCAGGATAGAGTGACTGCAACCACAATGGGAATTCGCATGAGGGGCTTTCAATCTTTAGAATGAGCTGCAGGGGAAGGAGCATCGATATCACTGGAGTCGGGTACAACTTTAATACTTATCTGCTTTGTTCAAAAAGTTCACATACAGCTTATTACTAAAATCAATAAACAAGGA